GTCATCCCTGGTCAACCTAGAATTCTGCCCTTGGAGAGGGTACCCACTGCCAGGTGAGGACAAGCTATGCAATCATTCCCTGCAGGGGAGAGTCCAGCCCTGAGCAAACAGGATTCCAATCTGCAGGCAAGTATGGGATGAATCTGATGGCTGCATTCATGGGTTATAATGCGTGGAATCTACTTTAAGAACAGACCACAGTAAACATTGGTCTTGAAATGCTTTAACCCTGTCATGTTAAAAAAAAAAAAATCAGTCAGTTAGTTAGTTAAAAACACGATGGAGTTAACTACAGTCTCAGTACCACACTGAGAAACCCCCGAAGGGCTGGAACTTGATGAGCACCAGTGTGAGGGATTGCAACTATTTGGGGCCTCTAACCTCTGGGGGTGTCCTAGGTTTCCACACTCTCTCCTTTCCTCCCCTGGCCAGTGAAGGGGATGCTGGCTCACACCTATCCAGGAGGGTGAGTGGGCACCCACAGGCACTTTGAGGGTCTGTTCCCAGGCTGGTGCCACATATTACAGTGGCAGAGAAACTCACAGTGAGGGTACCGTACCTACCTTCCACCTTGTTTTCCCAGATAGCTCTCCCCACTCCAGTTCAAACCCCGGGGTGGGCTGGCACACCTGTGTGGTATCTAGAAAGCAGGTTGGCCAAGGGACACTAAAGGGAACACTCAGGAAGCCAGAAGGCACTGCTGTCACGTCGTCTAGGTCAGAGCTTTAAGTCAGTGCAGTGAAAACACCTGCTGCCATAGTTGTCTGTGACTTTTTGAGAAGGGAGCTGGGGGACACCCGAATAGACTTCCCTGGGCAGGTGCTGGGACGGGGGGGGGGGGCTGGCAAGCTGAAGCCCGCCATGGGAATCTATGCTCTGAGCCTGGCTGTGAGTGAGACAGAGAGAGACAGAGACAGAGACAGACAGAGAGACACGAGAGAGACCCCCCTCACCTTTCCCTAGGGAAAGTGCTAACACTGCTCTTCCACCCCCCCCCCCAGAGCCTTCAGCGTGAGCTTGGGGTTTTGATTCAAAACCTGATAAACTGTATTCAATGCTATTTGAAATTTTTTTTAACGAAATTACTCAAAAGATTTTTAATCCTGGATAATTTTGTTGTAACTCTAATTATACATAACCTTAATTACCAGTACGAGTCCCCTCCCCACCAAGGATCCCTTAATTGCCTCCTAATTGAATAAAACAGAGGGCTAATCATACCCCACCGAAAACCCTGTAAGCCGTCAGTCCAGGGGCAGCTGAGGCAGTGCGGCCCCCCGGGGGAGGGGAGCTCACTGCCACCCTTCCCTAGCCCCCCCATCAGAGAAGAAGAACTTAGTTCTCTCCATAGCAATACCCAGGTGGGGGTTTGGGGGTGGCAGAAAGGCAGGACTAGGGAGGGCTAGGTCCAATGCACACCTGTCTGTCCCAGGCTGCTGGAGACCTTGGGGAGACCAACCAGCACTTGCTTTACAGAGTGGTTTGGCAAGACCCGTGCACACACCAGGCCTCCCACCCCGCTAACACCAACCAGTGGTGGCAGAAGCAAGGCCTGTGGCGCACAGCACAGAGCCTCAGGGCACTGGCCACCAGCCCTGCACCTCCACCTTTCGCCTAAAGCGGGCAAGACAAGCGATTCCGCCTACAGGTTCCTGCTACTGTTCAGCCCCAGAGAAAAGACTGTCCTCTGGGCCCTTGCTTCCCTGGAGAGGGTAGAAGGGGTAAGAGCCACACCAGCTAGGTAGGCCCCTGCTTGCCTCAACAGGGAAGGGCACAGGCCTTGAGCTGGGCCTCCAGTCCAACCCAACCCTGCTTCACACCATTATTACGCTAATTAGCAATTCAGCACCCCAACACACTCAACACTCACACAAAGTCCCACACCCAGCAGGGTAGGATATGTGGTGTTTGTTGGGACCGTGGGGTCTGTCATCTCCATAGAAATCAGTCTCCTCTCTGGTAGGGTTCCTAGCTATAGCTAGCATTCTACTTGTACTATGTACTTGCTGAAGGACAGGAGGGCACCATCGCCAACCCAGCCCAGTCCTGCCCACCTGGATCACAACAGAGGCAAGAATTAGAGACTGTTAAGTTATTTCGTTTTTAAATGTAGGGTCAAGACAGCCCAAGTCCTTACTGGCAAGCACTGGCCCAAGCTGGGTAAGGGGACCCCTGCCCTAGCATGTCTTCCTTCAATCTGCCCCCTCCCAGCTCAGGAACTGAATCATAGTCCCCAGTGGGGCTACTCCAGACACCTCTACCCTTAGAAAGCTCAATATCAGGCCCTACCCTGGGCCCCTACAAGTGGGACACCTAAAACCTTGAGTAAACCACGCAGACAGAGAGCTGGGGTAGGAACACCAAGAAATAAATACAAACGAAATTACACCTCAACACACACACCCTGGGACAGGCCCCCCAAGCCCTGTGTCCCGAGGTCACATTCATTGGCCCAGCTGTCCTCAGTACAGTCTCAGTCACAGCTCAGGGGCCCAAGCAAAAAACCCTGAGTAACCATGACCTTTCTCCTTCCCCTATCCCCTGACCCTGTTGGCCAGCCTAAGAGGCAGCTGGACTGGCGGCTGGGTGTCTGCTTGTCACCCTTGCTCCAGGTAATAGAGTCAGGTGTCCCAGGAGCCTGCCACATCTGCTTAAAATACTACCTAATGAAATCCAAAAGTGCACAGTAGGCCCTGAGCTGTCTCGAGTCCCGAGCTGTCTCAGCCACCGTCTTAAGGGGGCTTTGGTGGTAGCAGTAGTAAGTCACACATCCTGGAATCGGGTCTCAAAGTGACACCCAAGCAGTGACTCTGGGCCTGTCGGGCGATTCTGCGGGCAGTTTCTAAGGACACCAGGCAAAGAGAAGCCTTAACAGAGCACTCCCACCGGGTTATGTCCTCCGGTTCTCAGCCTCTAGGAAAGGCCTCAAGACCGTAGCCTGGAGCCCTTCCGATCCTAAGTAAGGCCAGGCAGGGCCAGGTAACCTTCCACACCTGGAGGGGAGCGGGCGGAGAGCTGGGGCCCAGCAGAGCACCGACAGGCTGCGGACCTCTGGGAAGTTTCCGGGGCCGCGCAGGGTGCTTTGAGCGGGTCTCTCGCTTGCAGCGAAGGCGGCCGGCGACAAAAGGAGCGCAGTGGCTTTACTCTTCTCCTTGCAGCTCCGGGTCCTTCCTCGGAGAGAGCCTGACCAGCCCAGCCTGCTGCTAGGGGGCTGAGACTCCTAAAGGCCCACGGTGCACACCAGGCTCTAGCCGCACACAGCACACCCGCTCCGTGCGCGCGTCGTGGATAGTCACGCAGTATGCGCACAGCCCTTTCGTACCCGCTGGGAACCTACTGGCCCTGTTCGCACCAAGAGGGGTCAGAGGTCATGGGTGGCGCCGGAGGCCGAGGTCAAGGGCAGCTGGACAGGGAGCTCGGCGAGAAAGGGGCTCCTAACCCAGGGGCCACGAACGGCAGAGCTCGGGGAAGCTTGGCAGAGGCTGGAAGTTGCTTTTCCCTGTAGGGTGGGCGCGCGGCCTAAGGCATCCGGGGCCGCAGTGGGGCCAAGTTGGGCAGGGTCCCGAGCTGAAAGCGCCTGGCTTCGGGAAACTATCGTAAATCCTACGCCCGTCGGGCTCATGTTTTTAGAATCCGGCTCTGGAAGCCGCGAGGCTGAGCCAGGCAGGATCCAACCATGCAGAGGCAGATCGAACGGCCTGGTGATCAGGCAGGGACCTTGAGCCAGCGTGCCGGGCGCCCCTTTCGCGGGCCCGCGGCGGAGGAGGGGGCGGCAGGGAGGAGAGATCCGTATCCTCCGCGTACAGTGCTCACCGCTTCGCTGTAGCCGGGCCATGGCCCGGTCTGCTGAAGCCGAGTTTCCCCTGCCGCGGCACAGCCGGGTCCCACCTGCTGGCTGCAAGGGCCGAAGCCCCCAGCCCGACTCGTAGCGGCTGGCGCCGGCACTGGGCTAGGAGGGCGCGCGGGCTGCTCTGAGACGCGGTGGTGGTAGTACGGACGGCGGGAGTTCGCGGGCTTCGGTGGGGACCGGCCCGCGGCTTACTGTGCGCAGAGCCCCAGGCTCGGCCCAAGGCGGAGCGAAAGAGAAAGTAAGACCCGGGCCCTGGCAGTCTCGCCGGGGCAGTTCGTCCCTCTGGGCCTCACGAGTGCCCGGGAGATCGTGTGCGGGAGGGTCGGAGCAAGACCAAGTGAGGAAGAGCGGCGTGTCGCAAAGCGGCTGGTGGGGACCCTGCTGCCGGAGGCACCGGCACCGGGCGGCCCGAGCGAGCTGCCGGAGTCACAGAGGAGCGCCGGCCACCACGCGGGGCACCACTTGGGAATAAACTTCGTGACCACAGTTCCGAGCGCAGGAAAAAGTCTCCATGTTGCTTCCCCAGCGGCTGCGGCCGTCCTGCCTGCGCCAACCCTGCCCTTGCTCCCGGGGAGCCGGGTGGGCGCCGGCCCGCGCCCCCTCCTCCGCCCCCTCCCCGGCTCGGGGTCTCCCTCCTCTGAGCCCGGCTGGCGGACGCCAAAGGCGGTGCTCTAGCGCCCACTATTTCAAAAGCCCGGAATATGATTTGACCAGGACTGAGAGCCACTCGGAGAGAGAGAGGGAGAGAGCGAGCGAGAGGAAAAGTTACTCTCCCCTTTCGTCAACTTTTCGCTAACTTTCGCTTTTCTCTCCCCTCCACCCCCGGCCCTCCCCCTCCGCCCCCCTCCCCGGCCCCCACCGCGCGCCTCGGGTTCCCGGGCCCGAGCGCCTGACACTGTGGGGGGGAGGGGGTTCGGCGGGGAGGGGGCCGGCGCCTTCGGGGAGCGCGCGGCCCGGGCGCCCCGAGCCTCCGCGCCGAGCCCGGCCGCCCCGGAGCACGGGAGGCGGAGCAGCCCCCGGGCCGCGCGGTCGACCGGGGGCCGGAGCCGCAGGCGCGCCGACCGCGCCCCGACGCGCACCCCTGGCCCGGGTACCCCGGCCCGGCGGCCCGGGCCCGGCGACGCGGCGCGGTCGAGCGCGGGAGACTTACTTTTGGCTAGCTTCCTCGCCCTCGCCTTGGATCGCATGGTGTCGGCTCGCGGAATCTCTCTCCTCCTCCTTGAGCCCAGAAGCAGCTACACACTATCTTCATCTCCCTAGCATTGTCAGTTTGGACACCTTCGCACATGCGCACAGAGCACTCAATCTGACACCCCTCGCCGGGGCCAAAAAAACTTTGCAATGTGTTCATCATCGTCTTCGTCGCGCCGCCGCCGCCGCCGCCTCGGCGCGGGATTGGGGGGCTCTCCGATGCCTCCTCGGTGTTCACCTCACTTCTCTCTCTCTCCCCCCTCCCCCCCCTTTTCAGTGCAGCTCGGAACTGGCCCTTTAAGAAAACATTCCGTGTTCGTCGCTCCCGCCCGGGGCCCGCACCCTGGACACTTTAAAAGGACCCAGGTAGCCCTGAAGGCGAGGTGACCGTCCCCCCGCCCTGCCCCGCGCAGCACCGCGGCTCCTGCCCGGGTCGGGCCGAGGAGGAGACCGGCCGCTGCGGTTTTCTGCGCGACTTCCTCGGATTTCCCCACAATCGCGCTGATAGTTCGGACGCGGGTTCGGGCTGGGTTTTTTTGCTGCGTTTTATTGCGTTTTATTACTAATTAAAAAGCTTTCGTTCGCCGTCGCCCCAGAGCGCTCTCCTCCCGAACTCCCCTCGGTCCCCGCCCGCACCCCGCGCTCGCGGAGGGGGTGTCGGGGCCAACGTGCCAGAACCCGGCTCCTCCGAAGCCCCCGCCGGCCGCCGCCCCCCGCGGGCCTCCCGCCCCCGCCCCTCCCCCTCGCCCCCACCCGGTGGCTGCAGCTTCGGGCTCCGCGGCTCAAAAACAAACAGCCGAGGCGCCGCCAGCTCCGCGCTCCGCCACCGCCCGGGACGCCGAGCGGCGCTGGACCCGTCGGTCCTCGGTCGGGCGCGGCGGCTGAGGGCAGCGCGCCCCGCGTCGGGGGGCGGCCGTGCTAAGGCCAGGCGTCCTGCCCCGAGCGTCCCGGGGCGTCCGCACCTCCGTCTCCGGGGTGGGCCCGTGCGCTCCGGTCTCTGCGCCCCGTTGGGCTGCTACCGCGGCCCCCAGGTGAGTACCGAGTGCGGAAGCGCCGGAGCTAGGCCACTTTCGGGAGCCGGGGTCCTTTCCGGACACTTCCCTCCGGCTTCTCCCGGCCCAGGTGCATCTTGGTCTGGAGAACCCGAGGCACAGGTGGAGGAGGGCCGGCTGGAAAAGATCTGGCGCTTCTGACCCTGCAGCCTTCAAGCTCCCGAGCTCAGGCAGGCAAGGGGCCTGGCAGGGCAAGCGCAGGGTGGCCCCAACTAAAAGGCCCAATGGGGTGAATGTGGATTCCTCCTGTGAGTATGGCTACAATTTGAGTTGGAATTGGAAACAAACCGAGTTGCTGCTGGGGCTGGGTCACCGCCCTGGGCGCCCTTCCCGAAAACCAGGGTCCCTCCAGGCAACAAGATTCAGATCTGTCACGGTGTCACCTGAGCCTTAGCAGGGGTAGGCGCCATTTGCATCTTTCTGCCTCCCAGGTGGGGCTTCTCGCCATCTTCACCCCCCCCCTTTGTTGTGCAGTAAAAACCCATCTTCTAGTACTGAAATCTGCACACCGAACCCCAACCCCGTTAAAACGATAGTCTTCAGAGAGTTCTTCCTATAGACCCTCTCGTCCAATGGAGAGTGCCCTTGGGCCCCAACTACCCAGAGGAAAACACCCAGAGCAGGCGGCAGAAGTCACTACCAGGCAGCAGCCTTCCTGACTACCAGCGGGTCGCTTCCCTGCCGAGACACAAGCGGCTCTCAAGACCCCACAGCTTTGGGTGCCTAACCCTGCACCCAGCTGGCGGCACAGGTGGAGGCTCGGTTGTAGGAGGGCCTCACTCATCCCTTTCTCGGTCTCTACCTGGGCTGAGTCACAGATCCACGGAGTTTATAGTTTAGGCTCTGGAGGTCTTGGTGTGGAGCTTCCCTTGGCAGACTAAGGCTCCGGTGGGTCTTGGAGGGCCCTGTATCTGCTCACCCCCTCAGGGTGGTATGACACCAGGATCCCAAGTGGCCTCTAGCCAGTGGGCTTAGCCTGTGAGTTCCACGTTGGAAAGAGCCCAAGGTCACCCCAGGTGTCCTCTGTTCACCTATAACCTCAAAGGAGATTTGGAGAACACCCAGAAAGATACATTGATGCTAGTGAGTAGCTCTCTGCTACAAGAGGGGCCCTGCCCTTCCCCTATTCTAGCCCAGCGGGGGGGGGGCTTCTTTTTCTCCAGTCCTGGAGGCTGCCAGAGGGCCACACCACCCTACCCCCAAGGCAGGAAGGCCTGACTTCTTCTGAGGCATTCTAGAGTTTTCTGGAGTCCTCCTGGCCCCCCTCTCTGCTCAGGAGAGCACACAATTTTGGCCAGATTGGACTAGATCAGCCTAAGGTGGAAGCCAGGAGCTGACCCTTGCCAGTGGAAGTGTCTTTTGGGCTCTTGGCCACCACCCTCTGAGCTGAGGGCGGGTGCCTGCCTGCCTGGGGAGGAAGCTGGAAACCAAGACTGGCTCCATGGAAACCCCTAGGTGCTGCAGAGGCTCTTCAGTTCAGGACATCCAGAGCTTGGAAGGCCATGGCCCTGACCCTGGCCAGGCCCTGCCCCCGCGTGGTCAGACTTAAAAGCTGAGAGGTCAGACGTGAAGGAGGTAGTACCGTACCCCCATCCCACTGAGAATTTCTTTCTTTTTTCTTTCTTTCTTTCATTCATTCTTTCTTTCTTTCTTTCTTTTTTTCAGGGATGGGCAAGTGGAGGTCCTGCAAGGGGTGGTGGTTATTAGTAAATGTTTTCAGAACCATTTTTTAACTGAGTCAAGCTCTGGGGAATTTGGAGAGCGTGAACTATATGATGAGTGAGTGTATATGTGGAGTTGGCTAAACAGCTGTCTGTGCTAGACAATGCTAATGTAGCCAACTTCATTGCTATTGAAGAGACTCCCACCAATTTCTACTGTGCTCCTAGCCAGCTGAGAAGGAGGGCTGTAGAACCAGAACAGAGCACTCCTGGGGACTGGTCAGGACCAGACCAGAAGACAGTCTTTAGTCACCAAGTTCTAAGTCCCTAAGTTCCTACCTACTACTACTATGTGTACAAGGTCCCTTGGCTCAGCCACATGCTGTCCCAGGCCTCCTAGAGGAATCCAGCCTCTGGAGAGGTACAGGGGTCAAAACTGCACGATTACCCTTCTTGGCTCCCCCAGAAGAGATTTGCTGCAGACCCCTGTGCAGCCTTACCAGGTGTGCCTACCACCGGCCCCTCTCTTTCCTCTGTGCTCATGAAACTCTCCCATGCACTCCAGACGCTGAGTCTCCGTGTGTGTGTGTGTGTGTGTGTGTGTGTGTGTGTGTGCATGCATGCGTGCATGTGCAGTTCTCAAAACCTTCTCTTGCAGTGCTGACCAGAAGCAAGAAAATAGAAGTACTGCTCCTTCAGTTACCACATGTGCTTCCTGGGGGAGCTGGAGGTGTCCCGAGAGGGAACACAGTCAAACCATGGTCCACCAAGAGGCGTATTGGCGTGTCTTTGTTGGAGGTGGTGGTTGGTTTCCCCTGCACTGGTGGAAAAACAGCAGAGACTTGGGGGGGACGGGATGGGGAGTCAAGTCACCTTCCTGCCTGAGGCAAGGTGTCTGCCAGCAGATTGGTTCCAATGGGATGCTTGGCATGGGGTATAAATACCTAAGGAACTGTCCCCACCCAGGCCTCCCAAGTGGCTCCAAGTAAGTGACTCCCTAGCACCTGGCCTCCTGGTACCTGGAGCCATTTTCAGACCCCCCCCCTCTGCCCAACTGTCCTCCTAGCTCCAGTGAACCTCCATGTGACATTGGATGACCTTGAGAGCATAAGGACGATGGTCTGAATTTCTATTCAAGGGGTTCTCTATGAAGATGTGGGACCTTCCAGGGCCACTGCCAGTTCCAAGGTTCCAAAGTGGGTTTCTGGGCCATGCAATGGAGGACTTCTCAGGAATACAACCTTGTAGCCAATGCTGAACCAACACCAGAGGTTCAGAACAGACTTCTTTGGATCACAGGGCAACTTTTTTTCCCTTCATCATTGGCAACATTTTGGAGGCCTGCGCAGGCATCCTTCCTTGCAAGGGTGCTTCAGCTGCCTGGGGATTCTAGCAGAATTTCTGTGTCCGACTTCAGGTCCTGAGTCCCTGCTGGGGTGACATGTAGGAGACAGTTTACCACTTGCCTGCATGCTTGGCGGTGCCAGCAGCGAGGACATGTTGGGGGTGGGTTGTTTTGTTGTAAAGCAATGAGAGATTGGGACTGAATTTCCTTGTCCTCTCCGTTTGAGTCCAGGAGGGAGTTAGCTTTTTATCTTTCAGGGGAAGAAAAAAAAAAAAAAACCCTCTCTCCAGAAGATGGTGGAAGCCCCCAAGGACTCCTGCCTGGAGAGCACCATGTGCGGAGAAGCCTGGGGCTTTTACAACTGTGTTGGGGCTGTGGCCATCGGGAGCAATAAACGGAATCGGTTTCTCACGCTTTCCCCCTCGATTCCCCAAACCTTCGAAAATACAGTAACGAATCCGGATCTGCGGCTTGCGTTGCTTGTGTCCTTGAGGCACGTGCTTACCCCCAACTTAGCAGCAAAGCAGCTAGTAGGTCCCTTCCCTCCACCGGCACTCACCAGCAGCAACTTCGTTACAGGTAAAGCCCTGGAGCTCAGGAGTGAGTTGAGCCCAGGGCCATTCACCCCGCCACCCGCCTGGCTTCCAAGAGCTGCCACCCTAGGATGCTCCCGTTTCTAGGGATCAAGCAAGCAGGAAGGGCCAGGACAGCAACGAAAACAAGTCTCTTTAGCCTCCTGGCTGCGGCTCTGGCGCCTTCCCTGCCCAACGGAGTCTAGAGCTGGGTAGAGCAAAGCAACCATGTCTACCCAGCTCATCTTGAATCCGAAACTACATTTCGTTTTGCAGAGTCACCTACTACTTGCTGATCCAATGGCAGACTAGCCCATACAGCTGACATGCAGTTTGGAAACCAAATTTTGTATTTGAACTTGTTTGGCACTGTACTCCACAGCTGCGACTGTTGGTGAGGGCTACAAAGGTATTTCTTCTCCTGCAGTTACCCTTCTGTGACTTGGAGTCACTTCTCTTCAGGGTTCCTGTGTGGTTGGCAGGGGAGAATGCAGGGCCAGGCTTCAGGCTACCAGGAGGCACAGGGCAGCCCACCCTCATGAGCCACAGTTTAGGCAAGAGGAGGCAGCGGTAGGTACTGGGCATTCGGAGGAGGGCTTATCTGCACATCCCTGTGCACTGAGGGCTCCCTCCCTTCTGTCGGGAGGGGGAGTTGAGAGCAACTCCTCTT